GAGGCATTGCACCAGAAAGAGATTCGAACCCGAGACCTGAGGGGACTTGCGATCTTCAAAGAGGATGCTCTACCAACATGCCATATATATATATAACAAATTAATATAAATGTATTTTAGTAACCAATTAAAATTAATGATATTTCTATACAAAGTTAAAAATTTAAGTGTTAAAGAATGGAAATTCATATAGATAGCACACAAATCTTATGTATTTGTGTATTTCACATCAAAATTTTCAGATATATATATATAAAAGATTGGTCTGAGGCTATTTGACGAGCCTCTCGATTAATCTTATATGCCTAAGAATTTAATCAAGCACAAAGGCAGGTGAGATCGAACTTTTGACCTCAAGAAGTCTTACAAACTCTGCAAACAAAAGAGTTATATATATATATATATATATGTGTGTGTGTGTGTGTGTGTGTGTGTGTGTGTGTGTGTGTGTGTGTGTGTGTGTGTGTGTGTGTGTGTGTGTGTGTGTGTGTGTGTGTGTGTGTGTGTGTGTGTGTGTGTGTGTGTGTGTGTGTGTGTGTGTGTGTGTGTGTGTGTGTGTGTGTGTGTGTGTGTGTGTGTGTGTGTGTGTGAGTTTGTTATCATGTTATAGATAGAAAAATAGTTTGAAATTAAAGAAAATTTTGCAATAGTTTTATGATGCATCATACAATGGCATAATATTTTTTTATTAATTCAGGCATGTCAATATCGAATCTAATGAAAATAATTTATCAATAACTAAATTTAAAATGCACATTTGAACATAAAAGATGCATTATAGTAAAAATAATTGAAATAAGTAATATATTAAAAAGACTTCAAATCAATGTTCCCCCTCAGACCTTTATACCTCCCTAGTATTTCACATGTATCGTCTAACCCTAATGCATCCCAATTGTTTCACAATATCAACAAAACTTCATACCTCGCTTTAAATTTGCATATATCATATAGCTCCTTTAGCTTCAAATGCATATCATAATTCAATTTTTCTTTTCAAGCCTTATAGTCTTATGTAAGTAAACATTTTAATTATTCCCTCATGTCATCTAGTGGATATACATTTTATCAACAGTCGTATCTCTCCCCTTAAATTCACAAAATTAACTTATTTTTCTGTAGTGTTTCCAAAAACAGAGACATATCATATGTTCTACAAGTTTTCATGGTTGACTTTTAATGGAATTACACTCTACCCCCCTCAACATCATTATTACAATGATGGTTTTTATTTGGTTTCTTGTTGTACACTAGTTATGCTTATGTCATTGTGCTTAATAATATAATGCCACTATTATAGTTATAAGTATTTAGTAGTAAGAGCATTATCAAATCTTGAGGTGATGTGCGCTCCATTATACTTAACAATTTAATCATATTGTTGCAAAAAAAAATAGAATATTGGTTAAACATGGGTTTTATCTAATTTGTAGATGTTCATTAGTAATGCTAATGTCATCATACTTGACAATTTGTCATTGCAACTATGATGACAACTATCACAATAGAGAAAGAGTGAAACAACGTGCACTCACCCTATAAAAAAATAAACATCAATCCAATTACTTTCTATTGAGGCTATTATAGGAAAATTAAAATCAAGTTGGGTGAGCCATCGAGACTAATCAAGCCTAAATGGCTTAGATCAAGTTTGGGGCGGCTTATTTCCTGCGGTGTGGCCCGAGGGAGCGTGTGTTTGATAAAAGTAGTGCATCCGCTTAATTTGATAATTTGGAGGAAACGTGGGAGTGAGTTCGACCCTGGGACCTGCGTTCTTTCTCCAATAGTTGGCTGGGCTACTCCATTGAAACACTCACGATTGTGTATGCCCCTGCCTCTCTCGCGATTCTTACTGTGCACGCTTTCTAGCGATTATTGTCCTAACTTTCTGATGGTTGTTGCGGCTAGCTTTCCATTTTTCCTCTCCATCTCTTCTATGTTCTTTGGCTCAGTTTGGATCGTTGGCATCACCCTCTGTGTCGCGATCCCTCTTCTAACGTTCTCTTTGTTAACTATGCCATGGGTTTTTATTTCGCAAACACTAATGTGCAATGTTTTTCCTCATTTCTCTGTGTTTTTATCCTTTGATGGTTTCGAGTTTATGTTGGATTTTGAGATTTTTTGGGTTCTCTGTGTTATGCTCGGATGATGATTTGGGTTCATTATGCTACATCATGTTGACGAACTTGATTTTTGTTTTCTCTATTATGTTGATCGTGTTAGCCAAAAGTAGGTGGTGGTGGTGATTGCATGTGCAATAAATTGGAAATACAAATGGCTAATCCAAACGTATATGAGCCATGTGTTGGTGTGCGAAGGTGGTGGAGGTGGTGGTAGTGGCGTTGTGGATTTGTTGGTGTGTAGAGGTTGTGGTATTTTTAAAACTGTGAGACGATTGAATCCCGAGGGTAGTGTCAACGTCTTATAGATGCAAAAGTGCGGGATAAATGAGCAAATGATTATGTTACCGTTGTAATGAGAAATACACTCAATACACCATTGCAAAGAGGGCGCCCTTCAGTTTCTGTTAGTTCGGGAGGAGGATACAAAGAGTGAGGGATCAAAAGAGGATGCAATGGAGGAGGAGCATCTGTATTTGGATGTGGCGGAGATGTCTTTCAATTTGGTGGTCGAATTTATCCTAAATCACACCATGAAGGTGAGGGGATAGATCGGGGAACAGTCGATTGTGGTGTTTGTGGTTAGCGGGGGCCACACACATCTTTATCTCAAATCAGATTATGGAGAAGCTAGGGTTGAAGTTGGTGACTACATGGAGCTTCAACCTCATGACGAGGACAGGGAAGGTGGAGAACAATCGAGAAATTTGCAAGGGGTTGGGTTTGACACTACATGGTCTACCGGTGGTGAAGAACTTCATTTTTTTTAGATTTGGGCAGCACAAATGTGATTTTAGGGATAAAGTGACGGTGAACATTGAAAGAGATGATGGTGGATTGGAAGTCCTCGACGATGGAGTTGCAAGTGAAGAGTAGGAAATTTGTGCTGAGAAGAGATACTAGCTTATGCAAAATCATGGTGTCGCTCAAAACCATAGTCAAATCGATTCGAGGAACAGGACTGGGTTATTTGGTGGAGCTGTAGAGTATTGAGGAGCTTTCAGCTCCTACAACAATTTACTGATGTTTTCCAACAGCCAAGAGATTTATCTCCTCAGAGGGAGCACGGGCATTCTATTACATTGAAGAAGGGTGTTTCTTTCATCAACTTTAGACCATACAAATACCTCCAGATTCAGAAGGATGAAATAGAGAAGCCGATCTGATAAATGCTCGAGGTTGGGATTATCAGACCTAGTGTGATCCCTTTTTCCAGTCCCGTCCCATTAGTGAAGAAAACATGTGGAAGTTAGATTTTGAGTGGATTGTCGGGCTTTGAACAAGGAAATGGTGCTGGAGAAATTTTATATTCTTGTGATTTATGAGTTAATGGATAAGCTTTATGGGGCTGTCATTTTCTAAAAGAATGATCTTAAATCATGATACCACCATATCAGAATGAATCATGTGGATGTGCACAAGACAATGTTTAGAACACATGAAGACATTATGGGTTTTTAGTGATCCAGTTTGACCTCACCAACTCCCCAACTACATTTCAGTCCCTTGTTTATCTCTGAAAATTTGTCTTGGTTTCTTTGACAATATTTTGATTTACAGTCGTATAGAGAAAGGGCATGTGGGGTACTTGAGCACAGTCCTAGAGACATTAAGTAAGCACCAATTGTATACTGTTGACTTCATGTTTTGTGAGGTCTGTTTCTTTCTCTAGATCCTAAGATCTAACAATAAGACTTTTTTGTCGATTCTTCTAAAGGACTAGTATTGGGACCCACACCACTTAGAAATTCAAACCCCTTTTCAACTCCTTGCAGCTAATATGTGTGGTTTCAAATGCTTAATATTTAGTTGAGTCAATCGGAATCAAAATATTGAAACTCAAGTTGAGTTCCTATAAAGATTAAAAATGTCTTAAGAAGACCTTCTGGACTTGGGGGTTTTCATTTATTGAAACAATACACACAAACACCACAATTCATACCACATACACATTCAAACATACATACACTTCACCATTAAATTAAATCAAAGTCAAATCTAAATAGAGTGAGGACTCTCGTGACACAAATTTGAGACACTCCGACATGAGTTCAGAGACAAGTTGTTGATACAGTTTTGCTAGACTTTAATAATCACTTAAGTAAAGACCAATTGCATTTTGCTTGATGAACAACTTCGATAGAGCCAAATGATCTCATTCGTCATGTCACACGCAAAATTGAACTTAAGTCAGTTTGATCGTCGAAGAATTTATTCGAACGACCTCGGATGACGAACTGGTCTGCACGAGTGCGTCTTAAACATCAATTTTATCTAGAAAGGATACCAATTTTACTATATTTTAGTGTACGGGTTAAAATACAAAAGTCTAAGCATTAAAATGCAATAAAGAAGACAGAATAATATCAAATAATAATAGTAATAATAATAATAATATCCTATTTAAACCCACACAAGCCACCCCTAACTACACGCACTCACAAACATGAAAAAATTTTCTATACGAAGTTCGGACGTAATTTTTCTTGTGGATTTCCAGTAATATGTCATGACGTGGAGGTTATTGTGAATTTATTGAAATGAAACCGCTGAGGTTATTGGGGGGTTATTGCGGGGGTTAATACAAAGAGTTATTGAAGTGGAATCGCAAAGGTTATTATATGTTTATTATAAGGGTTATTACAGAAGATTATTGAAGTGGAACCGCGAATGTTATTAGGGGTTATTGAGGAATTATTGAGACGTCATTAAAGTTGATGCCCTAATAATTCCTAAATAGCCCTCTCAATAATATCCATGATTTCACTCAAATAATCTCTAAGATTTCACTCCAATTCGCTCCACAGGCCACTTTAATATTTTTTTGGGATATAATACACATTATGTCACATTAATATATTACTATAATCTGCACGCAGTTCCTAGTCGGTATGTAGAATTTTATCTAAAATTATCTCCACACGCCCCTAACCGGCCCTAGCTCACGCAGCTCACGAAACCCAAGCCTCTTGCACGGAACAGAACCTCTCGCCGGCAAAGCCCTGCCGGCGCTCTTGCCCGCCGACACCCTTATCGCCGGCACACTTTTCCTCGGTGAAGCCTCCCCTCACGGTCCGATGATCGCCTTTCGGCCACTCTACCCCTTCCTCTCTCTTTTCAATTCAGGTGATTTGTTTTGTTAGGGTTTAGGGCTCCTCCGGCGGCATTGAGGCTACCTATCTCCCTGATATGCTCCTCCGCTGCCGGAGGGGCGTTCAATGATCTGGTTCCTGCGGCTCCTCGTCCGATCTTGAGGTTTTGAAATGGTTGGCATCTGTTTTTGCATGAAGTGTTCTTTAAAAGAAAATGCAAATGTTAAGAAATCTGGAACAGGGAGAGTTTGTGAATGAGGACACAATGACATGATGATTTTTCTCGAAAATTGCATAAAAAATGGTAAACCCTAGAGTTTAGTTTACTTAGAGAAGATTTAAGTCTAGCCAAATAACTGTTTTCACTTTTCTTAGTCAGAAAAGCTGCAGCATAATTTTTTTTTAACAAATTTGGTTAGACATAAAGTTACTTCGGTTGAGCATACCAAAGAAGATGTTTAAGCTAACTCAACATTAATGTTAATTAGCATTACCATTGCATTCATTCTGATGGGGCAGTTCTCTCGGTAAAATTTTTTGGATAGTTTGATTTCATTTACCAAGGGAGACTTGTCTTACGCACCTTTTTAAAATAAATTTCTCCAGATAGGTTTAGCATGACCTGCTTGGTGGTGGCTATGCTAATGCAACTTTTAAGGTTCTTCATCCGTATTCCACTTTCTGCACATTTTAATAAAGTTCATTTGCACACATGCAACATAATTCTTATATATAACTATGCAAAAGAGTATATCTTCAAGTTCTCATGCAACTGATACTTTCTCAACGTCTCCAAGAATGTCTTCAGGTGCCTCACATGATCTGTCAGAATATCATCAAAGAAACCAAAATAAATTTTCGGAGATAAGGTTGAAAAACTCTATTCACGAGGAATTGAAATGTCTTCGGGGCGTTGGTGAGGCCAAACTGCATCACTAAGAACTCATAATGTCTTTCATGTGTCATGAATATTGTCTTGTGCATATCTTCTTAACTAAGCTTTATTTGGTGGTATTCTGATTTAAGATTAATTTTTTAGAAAATGTCGGCCTCATAAAGCTTATTTAAGAACACATCAATCACAAGAATATGAAATTTGTCCAACACCATTTCCTTGTTCAAAGTACGGTAGTCCGCGCAGAAACTTCAACTACCATTTTTTTTCTTCACCCATGGGACGTGACTGGAAAAAGAGCTCACACTAGGTCTGATAATCCCAGCCTTAAGCATTTCTTAGATCAACTTTTCTATTTCATCCTTCTGAATTAGAGGTACCTGTATAGTCTGACGCTGATTGGAGAAACACCCTCCTTCAATTTAATAGTGTGCACGTGCTCCCTCTGAGGAGATAACTTGCTTGGCTATTAGAAAACATCAATAAATTGTTGCTGGGCTGCTGGGCCCCTTCTGAAAATTCTACTACTATGAATCTCGAACATTCTCAATGCTCTGCAGCTCTACCAAGTAACCCAGCCTTGCTGCCCGAATCGATTTGACCATTGTTTTGAGCGACACCATAGTTTTGCATAAGCTAGTATCTCCTTTCAACACCACCTTCCTACCCTCCACTTAGAGCACCATTCCACCTTCATCTCTCCCAATATGTACTGCCCAAATCTAAAGGAAGTCTTTCACCACCTGTAGGTCATATAATGTTAGAACCAACCCCTTAATTCCTTGACTGTTCTCCACCTTCTTTGTCCCCATCACGACGTCGAAGCTCCCTGTAGTCACCAGCTTCAACCCTAACTTCTCCACAGTTTGAGTCAAGATAAAGTTATGTGTGGCCCCACTTTCCACCAACACCACAATCGGTTGTTCCTCAATCCATCCCCTCATCTTCATGGTGTGATTCAGGATAAATCTGATCACCGAATTGAGAGAAACTTCGCCACATGCAAATGCAAATGCTCCTCACCCGTTGCATCCTCTTTTGATCCCTCTCTCTTTGTATCCTCCTCTTAAATTAACATAATTTGAAGGATGTGCTCCTTGCAATGGTGTCTTGAATTGTATTTCTCATCACAACGGTAACATAATCTTTTTGCTCTTTTATTCCGCACTTCTGCATCTGTGAGATACTTCAAACTAACCTCTGGGCGGGGTTCTGTATTCTTCTCCTTCGGCGACTCTTTTGGAAACGACACTGTCATCGGTGTCGTAGCTATCAAGGTGCTCTTGCAGAATCCTTTGGTGTTGCCGCTTTTATCAGTCTTCTTTACCTGTTTCTTGTCCTCAATTATCTGGGCAAGCTCCATCATTTCTTTCAGTCCCCACGGTCTCAAGGGGCAAATGACTGCTCGTTTGTTGGGCTTCAGACTTTTCAAGAAGTTCCCTTTCAAGCCTGTTGCAGAAATTCCCCTCAACCTCCTTGACAAGAGCTCAAACTTCTCTCTGTACTTCATCATTGTCCCCTCTTGGGTCAGAGCATAGAATTACTCCTGTAGGTCTCCTTCCCAAATGACACAGAAAAATTCCAACTAACAATCTTAAACTCCTCCCATGAGTGTATTGCATACCTTGCCTCCATCCACTGGAACCAAACTAAAGTCTTCCCCTCCAAGCATAATCCCGCTGCGATGAGCTTCTCTTCCTCGGTCAACCCATTGATCGCAAGGTATCACTCTTCTCGATACAACCATCCACATGCATCCTCCCTTTCGAAGATTAGCATCTTCAGTTTCTTGACTCTTGGATGTCCGTCCCAACCTCCTCTTTCTCCGATATTTTCCCTCATATCTTTAGGGTGGAACTTCTTTCTTCGGTCATAGGCATATCCCACTCCCTAATCCCTTCTTCCTCTATCGTGCTCCTTCATGCCGATTACACCATTCATTTTTTAATTTTTAGCACATCCCCCTCCATCGGAAGTCTCCACTCCCCCTCCTCTCAGAGTCATAGAGGGGCACACTTTTAGATAGATAAGGTTGTCTTCTCACTTAATCTCCTTCCATTTTGACCTAGCTAAGGATTCTCTGATCAATCCTTGGTTAGAATTGACAACTAGAGTGATTGACACGATCTTGACATGTATCTCCATGAGTTTTTTCATCATCTCCCATTTTTCTCATATGCTTTCAAATCCATTATCCATTTAATTTTCAATGGAAGAGAACCCGCCTTCCATGTTCACCCCTATTCCATTCCTGATTTGATTTACCCTGCCTCGTCTTCTACCACATCCACTTTTTTTGTACCAAGATCTATGCTATGATACCAATTTGATACGTCATTGGAATCAAGATTAGCGAACAAACCATGACGAAACAACAATAGATAGGAGAAAAAAAATGCAAAAATGGGCTACTCTTACAGAAATCAAAGGAAAACAAGTAAAATACAAAGTTGATCTATTTTTCAAAAAATAGATCGTCTCTCCCACACTCTAGATGTCACTAGGAATACGACATAAAGAAAGAGAACAACAGTCAAACAAAAACATGCGTGAAAGAAAACAAACTTTTGGTTCCCCCTTAAAAGAATCCGCTATCAATATTTGAAAACTTTCCTTTCCCGCTCTCCCTCCAAACCTTCTGTAATTTTTTATCCTCGAATATGTGATTATGGCCTTAGTGGACCACACCCCCTTCTTTCCTTCCCCTTCTTCCCGCGACAAAAGCTGGCCCACCTGTGGGCCAAGTAGGTTTTAATTGGCCGGTCCCTCCTGGACCGGCACCCGCCTGTGCATATTGGGCGTAACAATATTTTGGTTGAAATCAAATTTATAACCTGTATAAAAATTGAATTTGCTGGAAAAGTTATCAAGCTGATTCAAAATCAAATGTTTTTGAGACATGCTAGCTTAACTCAATATCATTTTGATTTGGAATCGAGTTTGAGCCGGCCAAAGTTTAATTATTTCAAGTTTGAGCTTAGCCGTAATTTACACGAACTTAACACAATATCAGCCCTGACTCACTTATCGTGATTCACTTTTAGGTTGCTTGTTAATGTTGAAATTGAGATAGGATTCGGTGCAAGTTTGGTTGGTTGCTGGTAATTTTTTAGATATTCCACTGTTTTTTAATTATCAAACTTTGTTTGCTTTTGAAGTGTTATCTTACTTGTAGTTGGATTATATGCCATGAGTTATTTTTATTAATTCTAAACTCATTAACTGGACTATTTCTTTCCCTTACATCTACAAATTGAGCCTAGATAAGATGATTTTGGTCACCTCTTGTTCTTCATTTTGGTTTCTTCTCTTAGAATCTGAAGTCATAAATTGGTGATGAGTTATTCATTGTGAACAAATCTTTTTGTTGCAGAATGAAAAATGTCTTCTATTAACGGATGCCTAGAGCCTTCAACATCTTTGATATCTCGCTTGTGAGAGATATAAACTCGCTAGTGCGGAAATTTTGCAAATTTTATCATGGAATTCTGTAACAGTAAACTTCCACGATGTCATACGAATTCCATTTTCTGGAAAATATTTATCTTGTTTTCGGCCATTTTTCTATTGAGGGCATTATTCCTTTCTCCTGTTCCTTTCTTCCATTGGTTACAACAGAGTGGTTCATGGACACCGGATTACAGTTCTTCGCATCAGCATGCAGTTAGGAGAGACAAGTTTCTGGAGGTCCCTCAGATAATCTGGGGCCTAAACAACCAGAAAATAGCTTTTGCAAGGGCCTGCTTGACTGCAGCATTGTTGAACAGGACACTCTTAATGCCTAATCTGAGTGCTTCTCTAATTTACAAAGAAATTGATCTATTAAAGCCCATTTCTTTGGATAAAATTTTCAACTTTGAAAGGTTCAACTCTCTCTGTGACGGTTTCGTCCGCCTGGGTCGCTACTCCGATCTTCACAACCGAACCGACCCTTTTGTGCTCCGTAAGGGAAGCGGTCGGAAGTGGTCTAAGGAGAGAGATTTGAATCAATTATATCAGTGCAAGGAAGGTTCAATAGATAAATTTGAAGTTATTAAGGTTGATGGGAAGCATCCATTTCTCTGGCATGATCATTGGCCTGTAATGAGCTATGCTAGGATATTTGAGTGCCTGACATTAGTGGATGAGATAGAAGCTGATGTCTCAGCTGTTATGTCCAGGATCAAAGCTAAAGGAAGCTATTTTGGTAATAATCTTAGCATGTCAGTCTCATCCCAAATTTCCTTTCCCTGCATGGCTATTCACATGAGAATAGAGAAGGACTGGATGTTGCACTGTAAGAACCTCGAGGAGCGATCAAATATACACCAAATATGTAGCAGTAAGAAGGAGATAATGGACCGGGTTGCGAGAATTAAAGGACTAAACTTTCCAATTGTGGTTTATCTCGCTGTCGCTGATAGCCTTTTGGAAGATAATTCAATATTGAGGGGCTGGAGGGAAGGGTTGCTTCCGTTTGAGAAGAAGAGGTTGGGGGTTTGGAACATATATACTAAGCATCCTTATCTCATACAATCTGCAATTGATTATGAGGTTTGTTTGAGAGCTCAAGTCTTCGTTGGCAACAGCTTTTCGACATTTTCGAGTCTTGTAGCTCTTCACCGGACACAAATTTTGGTTAAAATGGGAGTTAGAAGTATATGCGCTGATTCAATTTTTGCGTCATATGCTTATAATATTTTAGGAGATTTTGGTGCGCCTAAGAAGTGGATGACAGATATGTCAGCTCCAAGCCTTCATACCCTCAGTTATGGGACAAATAATATATCTTGTCAGGTTTAAGAGAAGCAAAGAGATTAGAGAAAAATGTCAAAATGGTCCCTTTGCTTTTTGAAGCGACTCATTTTAGTCCCAAAGTCTATGAAAATGTCAACTTAGGAATTATGGGAGCTAAAAGTCTTCCTTGGAGATTATTTGAGCCCATATCAAAAAAGGTCTAGGGAATAATTTGACATTTTTATAGACTTTGGAATTAAAATGGTCACATGTAAATAGTTGGGGATTATTTTAAGAAATTATGTGAAGGAGAAGCAATTTTATCTTTTTGATACTATAAAATAGGGATCAAGAGTCAAACAAAAGATTATTGAAAGCTGGATGGTGGTGTGAAATCCATAATCTGTGCAAGGAGTCAGACAGCTTTAAGCAGCTTTTATGTTGGTGGGTGTGATTTAATAGATTCTGCAGCATTTTCTAGGAATTTTTATATTGATTTCAAGAACAAAATTAATGCCATTTGGTACTGAATTGATCCAGATTGTTTCATTTGTGCTTATTTATGGTGTGTTTCACTTTTCTTATGTAGAGAATGTGAAGATACAGTTTCAGAGGGTATATCTGTTATCTAAAGTGAAAGATTTGATTGTTATAAGAGAACATGTAAGGAAAAAAAAAAGGTTTATCCTATCAAGAAATACATTGTTGTTGCAAGTTATTTTTTTTCTTAATTCCTTACTGGCATTTTTTTTTTCATTTGCATAAATCTATACCTATTCTGATGTGTGTGATTTTTAGTCTTCTTACAATATGCCAAATTTGCATAAATATCACACATTTCTTACATATTTATTGGAGTTTAGGTCAAGGGAGAGGACGAGGATTGGAGTTTCCATCTTCTCTTTTGAAAGAGATGAGGAGTTATCTCCGCCACAAGGACTGAAGATTCTATTAGATTGGTCGAGCAGCCTCTCTAATGTTCGTAAGTCCCCTCAGGTCACAGATTTATAGCCCCCCATGTGTAGGGTATGTTACTCAAATATTTAACACAATTAGGGATGACCGCGACTTGTCTAATTTCCTTCGGCCTTCCTCTATATATATATATATATATATATAGCCTTCGGCCTTCCTATATATATATATATATATATATTCTCACCGTGGACTCCAAATATTTTCTCTCTCACCAAATATTCTCTCTCTTAATTGGCCCTACTAAAGGAGTGAAGGGCTTTTCCACATCTTTATTAGATAAGGGAGAGCCTCATTTTCTTGTAAGCTGTAGTCTGTAAATAAATAAGCTCAGGATGTGTCATTGAGAGCCTTTGCCACTCATTATAAGTTGGTCTTACTTACAATGCATTAATTATAAATTCCTGCAATTGAATATAAGCCCTTCATGAAGGTAAAAGTTGACGTAGAAGTGAATCGATCATTTTAAGTGTAGCCTGAGTTCTTAGAGAACATTTTAGTATGAAAGACGTCCACTATTAAATGCATTCGGGTGAGATTTTAGAGGTGATGGACCAATTTGCAATTGATCAAAATCTATTGCAACAAAATTTCATAATTCAAAAAAATCAAACCAAAAAAATCGAACCAAATTTTGAATTCTTTTTAAACTGTTAAGATATGAATAAATAAAAATTTAATTATTTATTGATATTTGATTATGAATAAATATTATAAATTAAATATCTTGCAGGTATATAATTATTAATTTTATCAATAACCTTTTTATTTAATTAAATATTACATATATGCTAAACTATTTTTTTTTTAAATTTCAACATGAAATTAAAATATAAAAAAAAAATCACTTTAGGTATCACTTCTCCTATGTTTTTACATATCTAACACCTAAAGTTTAATTTTACATTGTCATCCCACCCATCCATGAAAATATTAAATTTTTTTTAAAATTAAAATGATATTACTTTTTTGTAACATGATAGATTAGAAGGGCATAAATATAAAAACAAATATTTTGATGTTTGATTAATAATAGATAGGAATTAGGTGATATGCATGTAAAAAATGACCATAAAATAAATAACATTTTAATTTTTTCAATAGTTCCAGTTTTAAAAAAATCAAAACATAACTAATAACCAAAAATCAAATATTAAAATTTTCAAAACAAAAAAATTGAAATATATTTTTGAAACCAAATCAAATTAACTAAATTCGCTCAATTCCACTTAAGGCCCGTTTGGGGCAATTTATTTTATTTGATGCTGTGACGTTTTGAAAAAGCACCTGACCTGTTCGATTAAACCTGAGTTTTGACAGCTTATACGTTTTAAAAACGGTGAAAACAGTGTTTTCACACCACGTATCTAGGTGCAGTTGCAGCTTTCGACAGTTTGTATGGATTTTTGAAAAAAATAAAAATTTATAATAGCCACCGCACCTAGTTCCACTTAGGAGTTCAGTTCCACTTAGGACCTGTTTGGGGCAATTTATTTGATGTGATGACGTTTTGAAAACGCACCTGACCTGTTCAGTTAAATCTGAATTTTGACAGCTTATACGTTTTCAAAACGATGAAAACAGTGTTTTCATACCGCACCTATTTAGGTGTGGTGGCAGCTTTCGGCAGTTGTATGGATTTTTGAAAAAAAAAAAAATTATAATAGTCACCGCACCTATTTTATCAGCAGATTATTTTTAATGAGCTTATCAGCAAATTATTCAATAAGTTACAGCTGCCCTCAAACAGACGCTTAATTATTCAATTTTTACAAATTATCGCACACCCCTGACAAGATTAATATAGGGAGAGAGGAAAACCAGCATTTTTTTAGCTCAGTTCAGAAGGAGCAGGCAATACCACATAATTATTAAGCAAATCACCAGTAAGAGGATTCAAGACTAGTTCAGGAAGGCTGATCACATCAAAACATCCACAAAGAAGGGCAATAACATACAAACCACCCAATTCTTATGTATTTACATATCCATACACCCAAACTTTATTTTTTACAATTACACTACCCAAATCTTTCATCTCACATTCTAAAATACCACTGTTTAAACTTTTAAAAGGTAAAATACACCTTTTTCCCTA